GTCGTTTTCCTGGAACCAATTACCGACGTAAGGCGAGGTATACCTGTATTTACTTTCGCTTGATTGTAAAAATTAAGTATCGAGTCGCTGTTAGTGTTTATGTAAGGTTTATGTTTAAATTAGCTTATGATAACACATAGGAAAGCAAGTTGCGAAGGAAAGTTCCTTTCTTAATATTATTGGTCAAGGGAAATTGTATTCTTTGCGTGCAATTGTACATTTATTAATTGATAGATATTGAACTGTTCTGTATTCAATGCTTACAGAGAAGATCTGTTAACAAGTATTCGTTTGCTGTATGAAGGTTCGACTGTAAATAGTTTATTGGTGATACACGTGTGTACTTTTTACAGCGATAGTAAATAAAAAAAGAGCCATTTTTAGAAATTTCTTTCGAATTTTCGAAATCATAATTATTGGAAATATTGCCAGAATATACATTTCCTGATTATACGTGGTCAGCTAAGATATGTATATAAATATACAATATTAATGTTTATTAATTGTCTGTAACAACCGAAAGTTTAACTTAATTAATCAATTTTTAATTTTGTTGTAGCTGAACGATCAGTTCTGTTTTCATCTGAAGATTCGACAGAAAACAAAGCTGATATGATATGATAAATGAAATTATCTATGGTACGTTTATAAAATTTGTAAAATGTGATTTTCTTTATTAATATTTGCTTGATATATAGAATTTTTAGGTTCTTTACAGACGGAATTTCTCTTGTTTATACATCGACATACGTGTAAAAAAGAATTGATTCATCATTTTTTTCAATTATATTATAATTAGCGTATTAAAACTTTTATGCTGTTCCAAGAATATAACTTTAACATTTTTAAAGTTAATAATTGTTTATTTTTACATAATTGAAGATAAAGTTTTTGAAAATAAACTATAATTTTAACTGTTTTGTTTGTGATTTATTTTCAGAATTTAAAAGTTGAATAAGGTTTATATTTAAAGAAATTTATGATTACAAACATTGGCGTCATAGCTCATTTACATTTTTTTTCTGACAATATTGTCTTCCTTCTGTTAAATATAACATCAAAAACCCCGCCATAAAAAATCATTAGGAAATTATTCAATTTTATAGGCCAGGAATAGTGAACCTTTTTGAGTCCGTGTGCCATATTGTAAGCATTAACATTAAATTTAATAAAACTTTAATGATGTTTATGTGTGCCATATTGTAAGCATTAACATTAAATTTAATATAACTTTAATGATGTATATGCGTGCCAAGGTTTTCGATTTCGAATAACGATATTTAAATAAAGTAAAGGAATATGTATTAATTAAAATGCTAAAACATCTGATTGAAAAAAGTAGGATCGGATGATAAACCAAAAATATAATTGAAAAAGACAAAGTGAAAAATCGAAATCGTGCCAGATGATTTATCCTTTCGTGCCACTTTGGGCAGGGGTGCCGTATATTCGCCACCTTTGTTATAAGCTAATTGTATTACAAAATAATTCAATAAAATAATTTGCATTGTTTTTGTACTCTTCAACTGCTGTTTATTTAAAACTTTCATGTATTTTATAATCTTGCAATGACAAATATAAAATACATAAAAGTTTTAAATAAAGTCACAGCAAATCCGTAGCAGTCTTATACTTTACAAATACTGTAGATTTTTCATGATGATTACATGAATTATGCAATCCCAATGGAATGTCTACATCTGTGAGAAACTGTTTCATTCTATAAGACTAACAAAGAAATCTTTGGACTTTTGGTTTATATCTGTAAGGACATCAAAAGAATCTATTAGAAGGTCACATAATAGAAACATTAAAAAAATAATAGATAAAAAAGGAATACGTCCATCTTTTTTATAGGTTAATAATAGAGAGATATTCGGTTATGTTGCGTGACTTGCGGTGACTTGCGGTTAACTTGGTGACGAAGTCACTCTGGTTGTTTGCCAAAAGTTACGAAATACATTGTATTAATGCTTTCAACAATTCGTATAAGGGCGAAATTCAACGGATTTGCCAGAAAGGATTAAATTTTCCAATCACATCAAAAATATCCTTGACCAATTGTGCCATACTCGCTCGTGTTCTAGGAAAATAAGATTATGGCTATAATGTCATTTCTACAATTTGTTAAATGTTGTCAGAATCAACTATACGACATTTATGAAAGGTTCAAATAATCCAGAAAAAAAAAACAGATTTCTGGTAAACTTTCCTTGTTTTATGCAAGTGAACTTGGATCAATTCGCCCATATGGTCCGTAAATCGCGTATTTTTACAACGCCAAACTAAACGAAATCTTCTTTGGCATTTGGAAACTCGGCCGAAATTATGCTGTCAGTTTGAGTTGATTGAATTTTTTCTTTAAGAATGAAAGGAGAGATGTACCTGGTAATTATAGAAGTACTTGGTTATCATCTTGTGTTTTGTACTATTTTGTATGGAAGATTGACTCGATGGATAGAAGTTAAAAATATATTGCATGAAAATCAGATAGGATTCCGGACTAGTTATTCTACATTGGATAACATTTTTATTTAATACACGGTTATTCAAAAAATTTTTTAACGAAAAGTAGGAAGGCGTATGCATTTTTTGTTGATTTATCTACTGCGTTTGAAAGGGTTTGTAGAAATTTGTTGTGGTGAAAGATGTTGTGTTATGGTTTCAGTTATAAGTTCGTATCTTTACTCGTTGCTTTGTATGAAAACTCCTCGTTTATGGTAAGAGATGGAAGTGTCTGTTCGTCGTTAATGTTCTCTAAGATTGGTGTTAAATAGGGCTGTATTTTGAGCCCAATTTTCTTGAACGATCGGTAACCAAATAAACAAAACTCAATCAGATCAGCGCCCGCGTGATCGAACTATTGTATTGCCCATCTGTCGTGAGTAGTAGTTTCACATTCAATTAGTCATAACTCGTTCAATAGAGAGGTTGCGGCAGAAGTTTTATCCATAAAACGTGAACTTCGAACGTCTAGTGCCGCCATCTTGAAAGCCTAGAAGTTTGGCAATGACGTTTGAAATTATGCTCGACGTTGCAAACGCCATTGTCCAACTTTAGGCTTGCAGAAAGGCGGCGCTGAACGTCCTACATACACGTTGAAAACGTCGGCCGTAACCTCGCTATTATGAAAGATATTTCCAAGATATTTCATATATCTTGGTCTCTATTTATACACTTTGAATATAAAGTAAGCTACGTAGCAAAATCTCTTATCTTATTGCTAATTATAATTTATACTTAAAAGTGATGAAGCTTTATTTAGTAACAAAGTTGTAGCTGTGTCACTAAATATAATTAAATGTATTTTTAAATCTTTCCAAATTGATGTGCTGCACCATTCTGTATATTTGTATATTTTAACTCTTTCCATCCTACTAACAGGGCCATTTTCGTACCTATTATGAATTCGTTCGGATCCACAACGGGAACAATCGGGTGGTGAGTGACGGATGTCCGGGATAAGTCACTGGTCAGAAAAATCCCCCAGAAATTTTTCACTATTTGGATTTGATGCCGGCTCATCCCCTAACAAGCAATATTACATTTGTGTCCCCATCAATTTTGATTCATATTGGCACAAAGACAGTGTTTAATACGATAATACAATTATCCAAACCGTTTCATTCTGTGAACCATAATAAGGTTTGAGCATTTTCTATAACGAAACTTTAAAATAGAACTTTTCAAGTGGTCAACTTTCGGAACTTTGCAAATTATATTTCTTACAGGAAAAAGTGTTTTCTTCAATGTGTATAAATAAATTTGATCAATTAAGTTGGAATTCTTTCTTCTTCAACTTACATTTTCATTAATTTATCTTTACAGAAATTGTTTGATAACACAAATTACACGACACGTTCCTAATATTGAAAAGTTGACGTAAGTCGAGCAAAAATTATTGCATTTTATACTTTCATATACTATAAGAAAAATGGAAAACAATACTTTTTATTTTCTTGGAAACGATACTACGCCAAACAACACAACGAATTATTATTTTAATAAAGATCTAAAAATGGCTCAAAATGTTCTTATAACGATTATGATAATAATGATGATGATCGCTATGGGAACTGATATTTCCTGGAATCAGGTATTACTCGTTATTATATTATTTCATTCTACTATTCGAATTGATATCTTATGTAAAATACTTTGTATACACAAATAGATTTATACAGGAATTCGAAAACCCGTTGGTCCAGCCATTGGACTGTTTTGCCAGTTTATTATAATGCCATTAATTGGATTTCTTTATAATATTATATTTCAATTCGAATCGAGTTTAGCGGCTGGTTTGCTTATTATATCCTGTTGTCCCGGAGGTGCAGTTTCTAATCTATTTACATATTATTTGGATGGTGATGTTTCCCTGAGGTATGTAGAAATCGTTTACTATATTTAGACGTAAAGATTCCTCTTCAGAAAATTAATATTTATCTCTTTACAGTGTGACGATGACCACAATATCAATCGTGGTTTCTCTCGGTATGATGCCTTTCAATACTTGGATATACGCAAATAATACAGAAGCTAAGAACTTAATAATACCTTATGGCAATATTGCATTATCGCTATTAATTATTGTTTCTCCAGTAACTATCGGCATGCTTATAAAATGGAAATTTCCAAAGATATCTTCTCATTTCACTAAGGTAGGGGTCATTGATTTTCGCTTTGATATGCATTATCTGGTTGTGCCAATACGCAATGTACTGATATCTTGATATTTTCATTAACAGTGGGGAAGTGGAATCAGTATGATTTTACTTATAATTATAATTACAATACAAATAGTCTCCTTCGGACATATATTTGATATCGTATTATGGAAAGTGATTGTAACTGCTGGAGTTTTTCCTATAACAGGATTTTTAATTGGATACTCAATAGCGATTATAAGCAGAATGTCCAAGTCAGCTTGCATGGCAATAGCTGTTGAGAGCGGAATTCAAAATGTGTCTGTTGCATACAGCATCATTGTTTTATCGTTCGATACCACCGTACGTTTGTTTTTGATTGTATGAATATAAATTTTCCACTAAAACTAAAAAGTTTTGTAATTTCAGAAAAATGACTCCATTCTTCTGTTTCCATTGTTCTATGGAATATCACAAATGGTAAATTATTTTTTTCTATATATAATTTATCGTGTTATAAGAAAAACTTTCCATAAAATGGAAGAAGAGTGCATCGAAGAGAAAGATAAAGGTGATTATTATTATTATTTAAATTTATTTTTGTATACAGGCATACCTCGACTTACGTCGTTTCGAGTTACGTCGTTCCCGATTATACGTCGCTTGTTAAAAAAGTATATGAAAAAATAAAAATCAAGTTTAAGTCATTTTATTCGACTTTACTTATGTCCTATCCTGGAATTTTTTCTGTTCTGATTTTAAGATTCGAGATCACAGCACGCACGATTCTAATCGGCGTCATTTTGTGTTTTTATGTAAATTAAAATACAAGTTACTCTTTAATATTTTATGAATTTTAAATAGTGCTAAATTTTAGTTTTTGAAAAAGTTTTATTATTAAACGAACAATTATTTATTTTGACATGGTAACAATATCAGGCTGCAATTTTTATCATATTTTTAAAATTTATTATAATATATGCTCTCTGCCTCAAATTAATGGTGTCTTGTAGTTCTACAACACACTTTTCTGTAAAGTATAGAGTTATGTCGGTCATCTATCTAACTGCTTCTGAGAGAACAGTTTAAAATAATGCGATTTTCGGTTTGCATCAGAAGAAATTCTTATACAGTTATTTAATCCGGGCCTCCTTCCGCTAATGTTTCCGTATCTGGCCTGATATTCATCTGTTCATCTGTTCTCGAAATTAAGGACAGGCAAGACAATGTATGACTGTGGAAACTCTTAAGTATACAAGTTTATAAAATTACAGTTGAATTATTACGTAAATGCGCTCGAAATTATCTATTGTACAGTAAGTTTCAGACTACAAACCTACCGTACAAACTACTCAACTTAATAAAAAACTCACGGGGATCCGAAAATATTGAAAATGTTGGTGAATCATGTCAAATGATAAACTAAACGAAATTTTCAAAATTAAAGTCTATAAAATATTTTTAAAGCGGAAGAATTAGGTGCAGAAACTAAATAATAATCGCTATAATACTGCTAAAGCAACTACTCGAACAAAGGATATCAGTTAGCTTTCAGCTATCATTTCAATTTTTTTCAGATGACCTTCACGAAAAGAGAAGAATTAATCAATTGTCATTTCCATTATAATTAATTCTTGAATCGTCATATTTTACAGAATTTCTCACTTCATTGCGTCGATTAATGTATTTTGGAAAATTTCTAAATAATTACCACATTTTCCTCAAAACAACTTTAAATCTTTACAGAATAGTAATTGAATACAGTCGTCTATTACTAAACAGTCGATTTATTTGATAAAAATGATAGGTTTTAAGGCTTTTATGTTTATTTTTATTATAACTTTAATCAAAATTTTTGTAGTATCGAGCAGTGAAAACGATGATAATGAAACGACGTATGAGGTTTATAAAAATTTACTACTTACCACAGAAGTTAACTGGAAAAAGTCGTTAAAATCGATTAATAAATTAATTCTTCCGTACATGTTGAGAATGACAGAAGAAGTGAAGATATCAAAATCTTGTCAGATTTCAGGAATTCGATTTTTGAAAGATTTAATACAATTGAAACCCTGGGCTGTAATGAGTAAGTAGTTTTGAATATACATTATTGTACATTAAGCATAGATTTTCATTCGAAACAAATTCATTCACTTAAGAAAATATGTGTCTATTGCTTGTTTTTTGCGAATGGTTCGTTTTTCGCTCCCATTTTTTGTTAGGGACAATACTTTTTTTTATTTTTATTGCGTAAATTTTTTTCATGCGCAATTATTTTGATCAGCGATTGCAGACATTATCACTTTGACCCCACTGTATCACGAGAACCAAGTCATAGATCAAATTTTTTTATTACACGTTTTAGAATTTTTTCGCAACTAACAGAACATGGCAAAATTTTATCGAAATAGAGCGATGAACGAAATACTTTGTGACTCATGAAGCCAAGCTAACCCTACCTGAAATATGCGATAAAATGTTTAAATTTATTAAAAGTACTACATAGAAAGTATTAGCCCAGTTATTTGAATGAAAAATATTAATATTTTCTTAGCACAATGTTGCCGTTGAGAACAGATCACCCAGGAACACCTTTAGAAGAAAATGGTTGTTTTATTAATTTACAAAAAATTAGATTATATCTTTACTATTTTTGAATACATAAATTCAAAAATAATTTGAATTTATGTATTCAAATTACATAAATTCAAATTAAAACCATTCGAATATTTTTATTTATTGATCTGGCAAAGTTTTTTTGCGTCTTTTGTAAAAATTAAGATTAATATAAAAATAAAAAATATGACATTGATTAATGATGATAATAATAATAATAATAATATTCTTAATAATTAAAAAATAAAGTTCTTAAAATAAATTGTTCATTCGAATTTATTAAATTCTTACATTTTTAAATTTGATCACCTAAAGTCTTTTATAAATAACAGTGCATATTAATTAACTAATTAATAATTATATATTTTGAACCTAAGACTTTTAGGGTTTATAAAAAAATTTTTTGGNAATTTTTTTAATTAATAGATTTTATTATATATAAGTTTAATTAATTAGGGGAGTCGGAAATCGCAATAAAAATTATAATTTTTTAAAAATATTTAAAAATATAGGTTTAGTTTCTAGTCACCCTACTTTAAACCCTTCTCCTCCCGAGACGTCTATGAGAATGTCCCGGAAATACGACACCAGCTGTTTTCGAGGTCATCCAGATGTGTAAACAATGACTCATCGGTGTTAAATTTCACAGTAAGGCGAGACAAAGGCGAAACTAAATGATGAAGGTTTTTAACCAAAATTAACGCATTTCTTTCGTTTTTTTCAGTTTTAAGTATTTTTTATGCTTAATTAAAAATTTTTTTAAAAAAGTGGACAAGAAAGGGTTAAAATAAATTGTTCATTCGAATTCATTAAATTTTTATATTTTTAAATTTGCTCGCATAAAGTCTTTTATAAATAATAGTACATATTAATTAACTATATTTTGAACCTAAGGTTTTTAGGGTTTCATAAGAAAAATTTTTTTGATTAAAATCTTTGTATAAAGCCATACCAAAATATTATGTAAGATAGAGAAGGGAAGGGGAAGGGGAAAAGAAGGGGAGGGAAATCAAAGAAAATATTACGGTTTCTTACACAAGGGTGGGTGGGGGTCTAGAATGGCCGAAATCGCCCTTACGTAATTTATGGACGGCCCCTAATTGCTAAAAACCAGCTGGCTCATTTCTTTCAAAATTTTGTGACCATTTATCGATTTTCGGTGTTCCCTGCTGTAACTTTTACACGACGGTCTCGATTTAAATCTTAACGGTTTTTTAACGTTTTTATTTTCATTGCCGCATTTATCTTGCGTTCGATTTTTCCTTCTTTCTTTTTTTGTATAGGTAAGCTAGTTTTGCACCTAAGAGTGCATTTGTTAAGTTCTCATTTGTGTTACCGTGTTTTCGCTGCAAGACAACAGTCTTGATCAGAATCAAGGTAGCTTGCGTTGCTTAGTACTTTTGTGGGTGATTGATGACAATGTGCACTTCATCGAGCTTTCTTGACAAGGCGTTCAAGCTCCTAGATGAGCTTAAGGGTTACCTTGCTAGAAATAGCAATAGGAAGTTGGGCTCAGGAGTTCATTCTCGGTTTATAACTGTCCAGTTCCAGCGCTTAATTGATCTAGCGAGTTTTACAGTGTCAACTTGTTCTGTTTCTGATTTTATTGACACTCGGTTAGATTCGCTTATCACCAAGAATGATCTCGTTGGCGCGTTTGCTGCACATGCAGAGAGAACTGAGGCAGTTTTCCATGAGGTCACAGAAGCCGTTCGTGGATTGCAGCAGGTTGTTCCAGTGTCGGGGTCGGCGGTTGGTGACCTCACTGGTGCATTTGCTGTGCATGCAAAGAGAACGGACGTGGTTATGACTTAGGTGTTGGAGACCGTTCGTGGAGTGCAGCAACTTGTGCCAACTTTAGGGCTGGTGGTGTCCAGGACACCAGGGTTACTGCACCCGGGCTTTATAGTGACGGTACACCAGTACCGTTACTATAAAGCCCGGGTGCAGTAACCCTGAGTCTAACGACTCTGAGCTTACGAGAAAAGTTCTAACTTCTAGAATCAATCCGCATAGCTTAAAAATAGGTGTTCAGAGATTATGCCGTATTCAAAAAGGAGAAATTGCTGTTGATTTGGGGTGTAGAGCAGATGTCAGAATTTTATGTAATACTGTTTCTGAGGTATCCGGTATACCTTTGGTTATCCTGAAAAAAGGCACCCACTGATCAAGATTATCTTGGTACCTAAATGTACTGAGAGGGACCAGCTCTTAGATGCCATTTATGAGCAGAACAGCCGAGTTGCCGTTTTATATTCCAAAAAATCATTTCTGGAGAAGATGAGGGTACGTTTTCCAATTCGACAGCATAGTACCACTCTCGTTTTTTGGGTTGAAAAGGTCTCACCAGAACTCAGGTGTTTCCTCCTTAAAGTGGAGAAGATAAACTTGCAGTGGACTATGTGTAGTGTCATAGACTTCCTCCCATCGAATCAATTTTTCAAATGCATGAAATTTAGGCATTTCGCAAAAAATTGTGATGCAGAAAATCGTACATGCAGTCAGTGTAGAGGCAATCATGCCTCCAAAGATTGCGATAACAAAACAGAAACTCCAAAATGTATGAACTGCAGTAAAGAGAATAATAAGGTAATAGATCACAATGCGCTCAATAGAGACTGTCCTGCCTTTACTCGATCAAGAACACAGCTCCCTGCCAGAATAGACTATGGCATCTAATAGAAATACTAACATTTGCCATAAGAACTCTCAACTACGTATTGTACAGGTTAATCTAAAACGAGCGATCTCTGCCAGCACTCAGCTCAGACAGGAGATTAACAACTATGATATCGTTTTAGTGCAGGAGCCTTATTGTCGTAAGAATAGGGTATCTTGTTTTAGCAACAAAGACATTAACATTCAGAGCCAGGATGAACGACCGTGGGTCGCAGTCATTGTTACTAACCCTATCTTGGCCATTATCTCTTATCCAAAATTTTGTTCATCTATCTGCAGTTGTATCGAGGTCTGCCTTCCTGATTTACACATTATCATCTTCAACGTCTGTTGCTCGAGTAGATCAGATATCTATGAAACCATCCAGAACTTGGAGTTGGCTGTGACTCATTTCACTAACCGTAGTTTTTTAATTTCGGATGATTTTAATGCGCATTCGCCTAATTGGGGGGCGAGTATAGAGGACAGGGGCCATGGAGAACTTTATTGCTGCACATGGCCTTCTGGTGGTTAATGACACAGACTCTCCACCAACCTTTTCGTCATATAATGGTCATTCCTGGATTCATTTATCTGTTCCAAAGGCCTCTGCAAAGGATTGGCAGGTAGGCATTTTTGACTGCCATTCTGTCCACGAGTGTATAACGTATAGCCTAGGCTGCAATAATGTGCAGGATGCAGTAGCTTCGAACAACAACAATGCTTTCAATACCAAGGCAGTTGATTGGTGCAAATTTCAGGCCACTATTCAGGGGATCGGCATGTTTTCTACTAGGATTGTATTACATACTGAGGCTAACGACTATATTGAGTAAGGTATTCTCCAAATCTCTTCTACATGCATGAAATCCATTTCCAGGAGGAAGAACAAAAACGGGTAACTCCATGGTGAAATTCGAATTTATCTGTTATGTGCCAGAACAACAATAGACTACGAAGGGTATTTCAGAGATGCCATGATGAAAGGAGTGAGAAACTGCGCATGCAGTACCTCTTACCAGAGAAGGTATAAGGAGGCCATTAAGAAGGCGAAACTATATTCTTAAAAGTCATTTTGCACAAGTGAGGGAAAAGACCCATTGGGGTTTATATATAAGCTCTGTGTAAACAAACTCAAAACTCGTAGTTTTTTTAGTAGCGGTATTGTCAATCCAGCCAGTCTTGAGGCCACAGTTTCTTGTTTTTTTTTTTTTTTATTATTTCTGCCGTTCTGACTCCCTCGCGGAGGACACTTCCGAGCACTCTGCAATTAGAGGATGCAGGAATGACGGTGAGCTCTCGGAAGATGACCCATTTTTTACCTTTTCTGAGGTCAATGACTCTATAAACCGTCTGCCATGGAACAAAGCCACGGATCTAGATGGGATAAACAAAGACATTATTGTAATAATAATGAAAACCCACCCAGATCTATCAATACTTCTCAACATTCTCAACTTTTGTATCTTGTTTGGTATCTTTCCCCAGTTATGGAAGAGGGTTCTTTTTGTTTAAATTCCGAAAAATCGGGGCAAATTTCTCGACATTCAAAACATGCGAAATATCTTCTTGCTGTCAATCTTGGGGAAAATCTTAGATAGGCTCCTTTTAAATCGCATTTATTGATTTTGGGTGTCCAGAAAACTGTTTCGTGAAGCCAAATACGGTTTCCGGTACCAGCGTGGAGCATTTGACGCATTGATGGACTTAGTTGGGCAAATCAAACATCTGCTACAAAGCTACAAGTTTGTCTTCAGCCTCAGCCTAGATCTGAGGAATGCAATCAATTTAACCTGGTGGCCGCAAATTTTACACAAATTAGGTGAGTGCAATTGTCCAGCTAACTTACTCCACCTTGCTGCTAATTACTTTGAGGATAGAGAAGCAATTATCTCTCTGGGGCATCTTCAATTTACACGTAAGTTTCAACGCGGCTGTCTTCAGAGGTCTATTTGTGGGCTGTTCAGGGGTCTGTTCTGGGATATTCTATCTTTTTTCGTACCGACTTCGACTACCAATGTTATGTCTACGCATACGCAGACAATGCCTTTGTGGTTTTCCCTGCCCCATCAAGAAACTACATAGAAAGGGTGTTCACTGACATTTTTAATGAAGTGTATAACTGGGGTGTGAGAAATAAACTCAGTTTCAACATGACAAAGACTAAGGGAATCGTTTTCTCCTCTCCAAGCACCCCTGACCTTTACAGACGAGCTCCTTGTATCAGGTTTCGTAATGAGTCAATAAAAGCTGTAAGTCATCTTATTTTCCTTGGGGTTGTGATTGATCATAAACTCTTCAGGAAACTGCAAATAAAACACATTACTAGTTGATGTAACTTGATCTTTAATGGTCTTTTAAGGGTTGGCAGATGCAGATGGAGCCTCGGTTTTCAGGCAACTATTGCCATGTATGATTGCCTGTTTTACCAACTATCTCATATGCATCTGCTGTTTGGAGCGCTGCTACCTCTCAATCTCATAATCATTAATGTATGAAATCTGCACAGCCGATTGCCTTATTACGACTTACTAGGTGCTTTACACTGTTTCAAATGCAGCCCTCACTGTAGTTGTTGGAAAGCTCCCATCCTCCAATTTTTCCAATTTAATAGCAAACGTTTCTGTATCTCTAGGGGCAGGTATGTTGATATTAATGGAACCATCTTTAATGGCACCATGTTTGAATTAGACAGGCCTGTATCTACAGTCCTACATCCTGCCTTAAGGAAGGGACTCTCTCTTCGTATTACCTCTACAGAGATTGAAGCTTTTACAGATGGATCCAAGTCAACGGACGGCATGGTAAATGCCTTTGTGATCTTTCAGGCTGGTGAAGAGGTTTACAATGCTTCCTTTACTCTAACCCGGAATGCTCTGTCTTCCAAGTTGAGATCTTCTCTGTATTGATGGCAATTAACTGGTGTAACTCTAACGTTGTGAATAAACCGATAAACATGTTTACAGACAGTGCTGGACTGTTGCTGCTTTGGAAAATAAGAATAATACTCACTCTGTTGAAAATGACATCTTCACTGCAGCTTCTACGTCTTTTAACAAGTATGCCATCAATTGGATTAAAAAACACAGCGGCATTCCGGGTAATGAACAGGCTGACTTTCTGGCGCGAAACATAACGCATAAACCTAATACTCCTCCTGCCTACAATATCATTCCTAAGTCAAGACTTAAATACCTTATCTGGGACAATGCTTTGGAAACCTGGCAACTGGTTTAGGACGAGATCCCACAAGAAAAAGTAAAGACGTAGTTTTTAATTTTTAAAGAATATTTTATCATCCAGCGAAAATTTAAAAGTAAAAAATGTAATAAGAATTCGCCGCCAGAGGGAGGAAAGACGATAATCTACGTTAAACAGCACAAATTTCCAGTAGCTATAAAGAAACTCCCGAACAGAGAAGGACGAAAAAAGCAAGACATCGTAAGATCATCAAATCCAATTTAAAAAAATTATTACTTCTTAGTTGGTTGTTTCTATGTTTTAAAAAACTTTTTCCAGGACGGCCACGTAGCCTAAAAAGGAAGGTCGGGTCATCTGAAGTTTTTATTCAGGAACATTTAAAAGAAATATGATGATCACCCAAAAATTTTTTGGAAACGACTACGTCTTTATTTTTTAAAGAAAATTTTATCATCCAGCGAAAATTTAAAAGTAAGACGTTTTATCCCAAAGGTCAAGGAACGCGTTCACAGCAAATGGATTCAACCCACACGTGGTTTAGCTCAATTTTTGACAGAACACGGGCGCTTTCGTGTTTACCTGGAAAGGTTTCACCACTCCAATGCTGACAGCTGTGTGGAGTGTGGGATGGTGTAATGCACTATTTATACAACTGTCTTATGCTGGAAGACATCAGGTATCAGTGCATGCAGCATGCCAATATGAACAATACAGACTGGCCAGTAAAGCCTGATTTTTTCTTACAAAACAGCAAAAATTTTAACTTGTTAAAGCAATTTGTTTCACTCTACACTGTTAGATGTGGGATCTGTTGATCTGATCTCTTGTGATATGATTCACTCTAGTCTTGATGCCAATGTATATAGACGCCTTGCTCTGCTATAACATCATGTAAACTTTGATGTACAGCAATTTTTCTTTCGTTATGGTGTACTTTTATTGTTTTATTTTTAATCTTTTATAATATTTAATTTTTATTCTTATTTTCATTTAATTTATTTTATTTTAATTATATTGTTGTATCCCTTCTATGACTAACAGCATGTATCTACTATGTATTTTTATGTATTTCTGCCTAGCTATGCTCAGCGATGCCAGACAATAAAGATGATTTTGACTGACTGACTGATTATCTTTTACGTTCATGTCTGTTATATTCCAGCGGGATAATCAGTCGAAAAGTGACTCCGTCTACATGATTTTTACATTTTTACACTAAAAAGACCAAAATATTTCTTTCTAGTGTAAAAAATATCTCTGCCGATTTTCTGAAATGTTCGACAAAAGAGAGAAGAGTTATTAAGCTTCAAAGTGAAAAAAAAGTCGTGCATCCCAAACACACAAATATCGTACATAGAGATAAACCAGTAACTTTTTTATGTTTATGGATGTTACAAGAGAACATCCATAAACTTAAAATCCATCAGCTCCTTATACGATGAAGTGGGCGTTATAAAATAATTAAATATCCCTAGCAAGAAAAATAAACAAAGTTAATTGCGTGTTTTTTCCTTGACAGAAATATGTTGTGACAATATTAAGCGCAGAATTTTATAAAAGCAAAGTAGATATACTAAAAATTTTACATTCATAACATTTATGTATAAGTTTGACCAGAAAGTTTTGAATATAATTACTTTTATTATACAATTTATTCATAATATAAGCCATTGTTCGTTTGGGTGTGTTTCTTTGTGATTTCTCTGTAACTCTGGTATTTTTGTCCAGTTCAAGTGAATCTATACTATTCCGGCTATTATATATAACAGAGAAAAATTATGGCATTCGGTCAAAAAAATAACCTCCAAAATATTTACATTTTTGGAGTCTGGACCTTAAAACGTGGAGAAATGCAAACATTCAGATTTTTCCTGTTTTAACGTAAGTTGGTGTGTGAGGAGCGTGATTTTTTTCAGCCTACACTATCTGGCCAAAAGTATCCGGACACCCCTAAAGAAGTAGATCTGGCAGGTGATGGTCGTTGATGCGTAACTGAAACGTATGAAAGTGTTGGTAGTGTTTTGTCAGGTCATATTTATGCATTTGTGATACAATGAGTAAGTCAAAAGAGCTTAGTGAGTTTGATCGTGGCATTATAGTGGGATGCCACCTTTGTGGGAAATCAGTTCGTGAAACTTCAGACATTGTACAGAAGCCAAAATCCACTGTGAGTGATGTAATTGTGAAGTGGAAACGTCAAGGCAGTGAAAGTGGAAAAAAACGATGGGGCAGGCCGAAGAAAATGAGTGAACACAGCCGTAGAACTCTGAAAAGGATAGTGAAACAAAGTCGCACGTCCTCGTTGGGTGAAATCACTCAGGAGTTCCAAAGGTCATCAGGCATTAGTATTAGCATCAGTACTGTTCGTCGAGAGTTAAAAAACCTGGGATTCCATGGTCGTGCAGCCGCTCACAAGCCGAACATCCTCCCCAGAATGCGAAGCGTCGATTGCAATGGTGCAAAGCTCACCGTCATTGGAGTGTGGACATGTGGAAAAGTGTTCTTTGGAATGATGAATTTCGCTTTACAATCTGGCAGTCCGATGGACGTGTCTGGGTTTGGCGGATGCCCGGCGAGCGCTTTTTACGTGACTGTATTTTGTCGACTGTAAAGTTTGGTGGTGGCAGCATCATGGTGTGGGCTGGGTCCCATAGTTTCTGTGGTTGGAAACATGAACTCTAAGATGTATGTGGACATTCTGGACAATGCTGCTCTCCCAACTCTATGGAAATATTTCGGGGAAGGCCCATTTCTCTTCCAGTAGGATAAATGCTCCATTCACACATCGAGACTTGCGCAGGCATGGTTTGATTAAATGGGTGTTCAAAAACTGGACTGGCTTTCTCAGAGCCCGATCTAAATCCCACAGAACACCTTCGGGACGAATTAGGACGCAGATTACGTAGTCAGCCACATCGACCATCCTCACTGCCAGCACTCACTTCAGCCGTGATGGACGCCTGGAAGTCAATTCCAATGGCCACCTATAAAAAACTAGTGGAAAGTCTTCCCAGACATGTACAGGCTGTCATCGATGCAAAAGGAGGACAAACATCATATTAATATATGCCTCAGGACTCTTCGAGTCCGTACTACTAGATAGTATATTTGAAACTTAATAACTTCTGCGCCTTTTTTCGAAAATTTCTGAAATTTTGCACCCTTTACATCATAGGGAGAGTCCACGCTGTTAAATTTTGGTAGTCGAAAGTAGAAGAAGCGAGGAGATAAAGTGGGTCTTGTGTATGTCCAATAGGGTCGGACTTAATGACGACTGTATTCGTTATTAGCATTTACAGTTTTATATAAAACCCATCCTTACATTTAATAAAACATTTAACACCTTATACCGCTGAGAATATTTATTAAATCACGAACGTTTTCAGCCTAATGGAATAGGCCATCATCAGGAAGGTGAGTTTTACCATCATAACCATCAAATACAAGCAGAGTTTAATATTCAATTTATTACCCATCCTTACTCTCGAATTAAGCTTTTTACTATTTTATAATGGTAAAAAAATATAAAACGATTTTTAAAATAAAATATGATAACAGATGGGGCTAGCAACTTTTTAATCCCCACAGAGTTATACAACCTAGTACACTGATTGCGAACGTTTTTGAGAGAGCATGCCAAATAGATTGCGTACTTACGTATAAAAATGTCTATGCGTATGTGCTTCGAATAACGATATTTAAATAAATTGCACGAATATGCATTACAGTAATTAAAATAAATTTTAAAAAACTGGCTGAGAAAAGATGATTACGTGATAAAAATGATTAAAAAAGACAGATGATAAAACGAAATAACGTAAAACGGTACATGCCAGATGACTTTTCTACACGTACCACGTTGGGGACGTTTGCCCTAGATTTGCTACTCCTGGTCTAGAAACTCAATTGCTACTAATTCATAACCAATCAGCAATTAAGAGTTTATGACCACTGTGCTGGGTGAGACGTTGTTAAAACAAAAAAAAAAAAAGTTATGCGTTCCATCATGTACATAAACAGTGTCGTAATTCGTCAAGTGCAAATCAGCGAATTCGTAAAATTTTTGTTTATTTTGAACAATTCGCATAATCGCAAATCCGGATAATAGAGGTCCGATAATCGAGGTTCTACTGTGTATTGTTTAAAAATGGCATTTTTGTTTAGCAATGAATTGTAAAAATTCGATAGAAAAAGTTATATGTAATTAAAGGCTTTAAGAAAGTAGGTTTGAAAATAAAAAGCTATGCCAGTGGTTCATATAATGAGCTACCAGAATAAATTTATGCAAAATTCGACAATAACTTTCAGATATTTGTTACAACAAAAATGTATTTAGTTTTCACAAACTGCAAACAGGAGCTTAAATTAAACAATTATAAATTTTTATAAATTAAAATTTGATAAAGAAAAACAAAACAATTCTCACAAACTTTACATATTATGTAAAGTAAACCTTCAAAAGTATTTGCAAGAGATAATACCTTCCTTTATTTAGGCACTATCTTACGCTTATGAACTAGATTATTTATTTTTTATAGTAAATAAAATAAAAATTTTTAAAAATTTATTAATCAGTAGACAAAAAATAGAAATATTTACTTCAAATTTATTTATTGTTTATTTTATAAATGAATGATTATTAAGCACCAACTATTTATTATAATATGCAATTTGACTGTTACATTATTCTCAATTATTACGAAATATTAATTTAAATGACTGAAAGTTTTAATTTTAATTACTATATTTTATTTTTTAATTTTAAAGTGTGTTTTCAATCCACAAACATCATATTATAGCATTTATTCTGTTTAATAAATCTTTATTCTATTGTTTCTGTTATTCTAGTTAATTAGTTACATAATGTTGCTATAAACCTGTGAGAAAACAGAACCTTTCCACATACTAATACTGATTTGAGAATTATGTTTTAATGTAATTTAACCCCTTCTTGTCCATTTTTTTAAAACTTTTAATTAAGCATAAAAAATACTTAAAACTGAAAAAAAACTAAAGAAATGCGTTAATTTTGGTTA